TATATGTATATATACTATGAGCCTGGAAACGAGATATTGAAAATGATTCCTTCACTCAGTTGCTGGTTATAAATCTACATTTAAATTTGTGTGTGGCTTGCAAATAAAGGTCATTACTCTCAAGTACAACATAGGATATAGTTAGGGATAGTCTTATCACTCAGATTTGTCTGTTGCTAGTATGCAACAGTTGGCTGGTGCACGTCAGTGTGAACTCAAGTTGTAATGTTTGTACCAGTCGCCCAACAGTCATGTGTGTTTAAATCGATGAAGTCCTGCCCTGAAATAAATATCATCGTTTATTTTTGAAGAGCATGGCCACAAACGTAAAAAATAAATCCAAGCGATAGACGTGGAAGTGTGTACAGGAGAATATTAGATAAAACGGGGGAAGCGTCCAGTTCGAAGGCGTGTCACCAGCAGTTCCAGTCAGACAAAATGAATCCCAACGGTATGGAAACACGCGTTTAGAAACCAACAACCGAAGAAAGGACAAACAATGCTGAATGCTCTGCAAGGCATGCTAGCCCATTCAAGACTCGCACATCAGACACAAGGTGTCTGTCATACTGGGTCAGGTCTGAAAGTCAGTGGCAAGATTGAACACGCAACGCCTTGTACCGTGTCGTTGAGCGCCCAAAATGACAAGTAACCAAGTCACTAACTGTGACCTTGGGAAGTTCTAGTTCAACGCAGCTATGGCTTGTTGAGGAAAGCAAATCCCTCGGTAGAAAACGATCATCGGTTGGTGAACCCAAAAAGGTTGACATCACAATCAGTTTAAACCAGCTACTTATTCTAGTAATACTAATGGTAATAGTGATTTCGCAATAATCTGGGTGATTTCGGTTTGGTGAAAACTAACTGCCGAGCGTTATCATTTCCTATTCGACACTGATATAAGTGGGCATAATTTGATCTGGCATTTCAGTCTTGTTGTGTCGTCCGGAGGTAACCCGTCAACTTGCGTAAGGAAGAAGCCAAAGTCGAGCACAGGAACAGGTCTTTTTTGTCGCTAAATAATGCGGTTATATACATCGGAAAATGGCAGGAATTGGCTGGGACTTGCTCTTCACCGAATAACCAATAGGAAACAACAGTTATGCATGATCGGGTAGACAACTAACGAAATGCAACGACCAATGGAGTCACATGTGAGAGTGGAACGATGATAAATCAATAGGGGAAATCAACTGCCGAGCGTTATCATTTCCTATTCGACACTGATATAAGTGGGCATAATTTGATCTGGCATTTCAGTCTGATTCCTGGCCCAGCAATGTGTCGTTTGACGTGGATATAGTTCACACAGAGACCTTAAAGTACACAGCCCTAAAGCACTCATCAGTGGGAAAGGTAAGAACAAAATGAGCATTCGCACAATAATTAGGTTGTAAGGGGGAGCTCAACCGAATCCCAGCTGAATGGCTTGTTGACGCTGTTCTTCAACTGAATGTGCTGCACGAAGTTGGCACGATATTTGGGATTTGGCAAAGGTTGCTGAAAACTCTGACAGTTCATCCTACTAGGAACCCATCAGGTAGGCCCATTCTCCGTGTTTCCGTCACCCCCACAGACTAACTGCCCCCCACAAGGTCAAGGAACACTCGCTGATGTGACCGAACGAAGCGACCAACTATATCACCCTCTCGCAATAAAACGATGACTACCCCCATGTTTCTCATCCCTGGTCAGCAGGTGAGAAATCCCATCCAAATTCAGTCCGAAAATTAGCAAACAATTTGACTCCGTGCAACTGGCGTGAAAATATGGAGACATGAAGAACAGACGTGACAAGAGCGTGATCGCTGCATGACGCCGTCTCGTCAATAAAGATTTCGATTTCATTCACTTTGTTCAACTTTTGCTGGGTGTGGGAACTGTTCTTCATTCCTACAAACATGAAGAATAGACGTGACAAGAGCGTGATCGCTGCATGGCGCCGTCTCGTCAATAAAGATTTCGATGACATTTTCGAACCTGTTTTCCTCAAAACCTCCATCATTCACTTTGTTCAACTTTTGATGGGTGTGGGAACTGTTCTTCATTCCTACACTCCAGGATGCGAAATGAGTAAATCATCGAAACCGATCTGTTACTAAGATTCTGATGATACTGAAGATATTTGAATGCCATCCGCTGCCATAAGGAGACAGGAGTGTGGATCTCTTCCAGATAAGCCTCGCCAAACAATTAATCCCCACCACCCAAAAAAGATTAGAAAAAAGAGGATATGAAATCCGGACTTTTAGTTTTTATTGAATAGGGTGAAATTGGGACATGTCATTAATAAGTTGCATGAAAAGGTCCGTTTTTCGGTACGTTTGCCTCCAAACGAACTCACACAAGTAGTTGTTCACTAAAGATCGCTCTGCGTGGTTTTTACGGCGAGATATTAGCGTCTCATCGATCTCGACGTGTAGACCTGAGCCGCCGATAACTGTTGGAATCTGCAAAAGCCGCCAGGTGCAAACTTCGCGAAGAAAGTTCTTCCAGTCAACAGTGGTCGTTTGGCTAATAGATAATTCCTCTGAGCAGAATTTGATTTTTGCCAAATTTTTGGACCAGCAATAAATTAATAGAATTACTGTCCTAATCTCTATCCTAGACCGCTCCAGTCAAGTTCCTTTTCGAAGACCGATTTCTTGCCGACACTGTTGGGCTTTACGCTTCCACCTCTCAGAAACAGTTGAAAGTGTCATTTGGTGGCCATTGTTGCATAAACGTTGCTGATGAATCACCCGTAGCTTTGCAAAGAACGTATTGCCGTTTCCTTTTCGTGAACGAGAGTTGGAAGCGTTAGAAAGTTCACTGCCTCCGTGCGGAGAAAATTTTTGCACAAAATGAGCCTAGACGCGGATGAGGAATTGTTTTCATCAAAAACAGGTCAAGGTTGTGTGCG